ATGAGCCCGTATAGATCCATTGTAGAAGCGGTATAGATCCTGGGTAAAGGAACCCTAAATGCCCTAACCATAAACCCTAAATCCCGAACTCTAAACCCCTGAACCCCTAAACCCTATAAACCCTAAACCCTAATAAACCCTAAACCCTGTAAACCCTAAACCCTAATAAACCCTAAACCCTAATAAACCCTAAACCCTAATAAACCCTAAACCCTAATAAACCCTATAAACCCTACAAACCCTAAACCCTATAAACCCTAAACCCTATAAACCCTATAAACCCTATAAACCCTAAACATCCCTAAACCCTAAACCCCCTAAACCCTAAACCCTAAACCCTAAACCCTAAACCCTAAACCCTATAAACCCTAATAAACCCTTCAACCCGCGAGGTCCTCGAAGCCGGACTCTGCCTCATTGGACAGCGCCCGGGCGGTCTCCTCTCATGCATTCCATGATCTTTAGGGGTTTAGGGGTTTAGGGTTTAGGGTTTAGGGTTTAGGGTTTAGGGTTTAAGGTTTAGGGCTCATTAATAGGGTACTCTGGTTGCGGATAGTAGTTATCTAGGTTAATAGGTGGGAGAGTATATGGGGGTTTTCGGAAAATAGGGGACCCTAATATAGCACTCCAAATAGTAAGATCCTTATTATAAGGACCCCCAAAATACGGTACCCCTTATTTTCGGAAACTCCCATATGATTATTAGGCACTTGGACCCTTAGGGCTACAGGAGGCTTTGAGGACCTGGTGCTATGGGGGTTGGGCTAGGTTCCGCCTCTGGGTTAGAGAAGGTCACCGGGACTCTTCAGAAGGGTGCTTACTATGAAAAGGAAATGTGGGACGAACCCGTGACTTAGAACGCCGGCCGCAACTCACCGCCAGGATATGCGACTATTTAACGGGGAGGTGAGGTGGGCTAGGGCTGAAAGTGGGCGCAAAGCGCCATTGAGCGGCCCTGGGCCCTAAACCATATATGAAAAACTGAACCATAAGCCATACAGAAGCATCGATCCTGGGGCCTGCACTTGTTCCTGAAAAAAAAAAATTCCGGCTCAAATACCCTAAACCCTAAACCCTGAACCCTAAACCCTAAACCCTAAACCCTAAACCCTGAACCCTAAACCCTAAACCCTAAACCCTAAACCGTGTGCTCCGGCTTGAAGGCTGGGGCAGACGAACCTCCGATTGCCACGGGCCTACACCCGTACCTTAAGAACCCAAAACCTACTTTTTTGTAGGGTCCCTATAAATCCCATATTAGGGTCTATAATAAGAACCTACAGAAAAGTGG